AAGAACACATTTTAAAAGAAATGCTGACATAAAAGAATTGAGGATATAAGAACAAGTGGAAATTCAGAATCCAAGCATCATTTGTTGAAAATCAGTTGTTAAGAATTTTATGTCAATGCTAATTCTAACTGTATTGTCATGTACCACACTTGTTAGGTTCTCATTCTATCAAGATGAGTGCTTTACCATTAACTCTCAAAAATACTGGGGGGGGGGGGGGAGGGGAACGCAGTCTGGGTTGATTAAAATGTTCAAAAATGGTAGTTTAAGGGCAAATTATCAATAGAGAACAAATTAAAGTATAAATTATCATGAAGGGTAATAAATCCTGTCTTGGAAACAACCATCAAATGAAGAAATATGTACATCTTATTTTTACTAGATTTTCAGATTTTAGGGGACAGGGATCCATTATAATGTCTAGAAAATTCAATCACTCATTCAATAAGTATTTACTATTGTAAATAAGTATATACCATCTGTTGGTGTGTCAAGCGGCAGGTTATATCTTAGAGACACAGCAGAGTAAGAATAAGACAGTTCCTGGCCTCTGACTTCCAATCCAGCACAGGGATATGTACCCCCACTGTATCTGATGAATAAACTAGTATGTGCAGTCACATTGGTGGCATCTTAAAACACCATGGAACATATCTTTTTTTTTTTTTTTAATTTTTTTATAGAGGCATGTTTTATTTATTTATTTATTTGTTTGTTTGTTTGTTTGTTTATACATGCACTGGGTACAGTCAGAAGCGCGGGAGGGTGAGAGAATTCACCAGAGCCAGAGCGGGGAGCAGAGCTGGCAGAAGGACCGAAGTACACTGCTGAGGGGAGCAGCGGGCGGCAGGAGAGGTCTGCGTGCCATGTGGGACCCTCCTCCAGTGTCCGGGGAGCAGCCGGGGATCGAGCTGGCACCTCAGAGGTCGCGGGTAGCTTCGCAACCCAGCGCTCAACCGCTGCGCCACCGGGGAGGCCCCACCATGGAACATATAGATGAACATGTAGAATACTACTGTAGGTATAGTAGAAACATTAATGACTCAGCATTCCTGATCCAGAATTGTATCTCTTCAGTTATCTCAATTTGAGTCTTTTATGGGAACACCTTGCCTTCCTTTGAATAGTCAGTTATACGTAATCATAGTCAATTAAAAACCCTGAGTTTTCTGGACTACTAGTGCTAAAAGGATTCTTGAGTAGGATCAGAGTTTAGGAGTAAGCAGAATCAGCTACAGGTTTTATTTATACATGCATATACATAAAGCTATTACACCTTTATTATTTTTAAACCAACTAGATATATGTAATAGTTATTTTTATCTCATTAAGAAATAAAGTGTAATAGATTGTAAACCCACCTCTCTCAGGTCAGTGAAAGGCAGAGTGAACTGCTATAGGATGGGAAAGGACATGATTTACTGTGGGTTGAGTTGGAGCTGATGTGGGAAGGCCCCAGTTCTGGATGCTCAGGAGGAGGAACTCCAGCCTCCAGGCAGTATCTGATAGTCAGAGAGTAGTGAGCAAACAACAGATGGTAGTCCAGGAGAACAGTAGGCATAAGGATGTCCAACCTAGGTAATGGGGGGAAGGAGTCCAGATATGATGGATAGAGTATGGATGCGGACAATCTAGGAACAAAGAATTGGAGGCAAATAAATGTTGCCACCAGCATGTCTATTATTATAAGTGCATAGCAGAGTCTATGTTGCAGGGTTAGTGTGACTGGGGAGAACAGAGTGCACAGAAAACCAGCAGAGAAAAGTAAAGCTCCCTGCAAGTTAACAGGACAGGGCTTCTGGCACAAGAAAGGAGTTGAGGTAGTTCTTAGAAGAGGGCTGAGGTCAAGGCTCACTAAGTAATTATAAAGGCAGCAGGAGGCTGTGTCTGGGGAGTGGGACTGATGGAACCCTGTGACTTCCTCCTGCCTCAGGGCCTAGGAAAGGAGTGGGTTCTTTGGTAAAGGGTGTATTGACAGCAGGGAGAGGAGACTACAGAGACTAAGGCTAGGGAGGACCAAATGGTGAATACCATGCTGGCACAGCCTCAGCAAACCATCTTTTAAACATAGTAAGCATGTGCTCTGAAGCAAAGAGAAATGAAAATGGAACTGAGAAAAGGAGCAATAAAAAAGGAGAAGAAAATATTGTACTGTTATAAAGAAAAGAACTTAGAATTTAAAACTTTTCTATTTTGTGCACTGAACTAGATACATGTATACTCTCTTTCTTAACAGTTTCTGTATTGGCTTGGTTCTCCCAAACTATAATGGGGTATTATTAACCAATAAAATGATGTAGTGGTGTTCATTCTAAAAAATGTAGTTATTGCTTCTGTTCTTCACTACACATTTGTTCATTTAATATTGGGTTTGACAACAACATAAAGTATCATCCCTCACTAGTCCCTGACTACTGGGCATTAACTTATACCGTACTTACAAAGACTTAGTGTTGTCTTTTACCTCATAAAGTCTTTATAACAGGAAAATAACTTCTGATTGCTTAACTTGGGTTAAACTATTGAGCTATTGCCTTTCCTAAAGGCAGAAGTATCTGTTTCATGGAAAATAATATAACCCATAATTTCCCGATCAGACTATTTTTCCAACACAGTCCATGTCACCTTCTAAAACTGGGCTTTGATGACAAGGTTGAAAAATGGCTAGAGGAAATTCTATCCTTATCTCCCTCACTCATTTAACAAATACTGAGTGCTGCTATTTGCCAGGTACTAGGTTCTCAGGAACTGGTTGAGAACAAGATTGACAGGTCTTTGTTTTCCATTCTAAACTGATGCTACATGTTTTGAGTATACCACCACCACTCTTGGGACTTATACTTCAAGCTAACTCTACACAGAAAAAATGGCCCATTTCCAGCCCACTCTATTAACCTACTTAAAGGAAGACCATCACACTAGAGATTGTTAAATTTGGACCTTGAAGAGTTGCTGTTAAGTTTGGGGGTGAAACCATGTATGTCCAGCTGTCTCTTTGGGCCTCCAAGCTGCTCTGCTCATTTAGTGGGCAGGCAAACCAGAGAAACAGGCTGGCATGCACACACATACCAGGAGCCAGAGAGAACACCAAGCCCTGCTCAGCTGCTGGTAGGTAGGTTGCAGGCTGTGATAATCCTAAGGATTTAAGCCTAGGGACTAGGTGGGTCTTATGTTAGCAGAGCAAAAGGATGTCAATTAAAATTCCCAAAGACTTGAAAAGGAGATCCTCTTGTAGAGAAGCAAAGATATCACCAGCGAAAATTTGATAACTCATTTCTACAGTGGCATACAACACAGTCTAAAGGCAAGAACCCATTGTACATTTCAGAAATGTGATGTACTGAAGTTCAAACCTGAGATTCTTGTCTATTTTATAGCTTGATTCATATGTTTGAAAATCAAGCTAAGCTGCAGAGGTATATTAACACACTTTTCATGGTTTTATCTGCTATGACACATTGCCCAGCATAATACATCAGTGAGTTCCTTGGCCCATGAGTCCAAATCTCTTGGAGCAAAACAATCATCCTTTCCCCTAAAATTAAAGCAGTATGTATGTAGAAAACTTGAAAAAATGACAAATTTTAGTCACGAAAGTATACTCACCTAGCATTCATTTTTTTTTTTTGGCATAGCAAGAAACTGTAACTTGGGACTGTCAAGCCTGAAACAATTAAAGAGCTCAAGGAACAAAAGCAGCATTGACAAGTAATTTGGCACTGTGGAGGGTACTGAAGTCACTAAAGGCAAAAGTAGGTAAAAAGGAAGAGGAAGTGGGACAGAATAAAAGATGGACATAAAATCTTCAAGAGAATGCAAGGGAATTCAGACATTTAAACAAGAATATAGAGAAATGCTCTGGAGTCTAAATATTTCTTTAGGGAGAATGTGTGTAAAAACAACTATCGGTGCTTGGCACATTCTTTCCTTCTCTCTTTCTTTTCACCCACGGTTAAAAAAGAGACGTTATAAAGGAAACTTTCAAAAAGTATCTTTTGTAAAGACACTTAAGATAGATACAGCCATTGCAACCATTACCAAAGAGAGTGTAATATTTGGTTGTTCAAAACGGTGCTGTATTCTTTCTTCGTGCAGGACGCACTGAGCGCGTCCACCAGTATTTCCACACAAGAAAAAGACATGGAAGAAATGGTGACAATTTGCATTTTCCAAAAGGAGGGAACGCGACTTCGGAGGGTAGACGAGGTCACTGCAGTGAGCCAAAGGGAGAAAAGGGAACAATATTTATAGTCTGCTGACTTCAGTTCTGCCGGGTTAACGCCGCTCACGTTAAACCTTTGGAATTCACAGGCCCGCAGACCGCGGGCCCAGGGCAGCCGCGCCTCGGGGCTCCCGGGCCGACGCTGAAAGACCGCTCTCCCCGCAGCGCCTCGCCCGGGGCCGGGGGCCGGCACCTCCCCACCCGGGCCCGGCCGGGCAGCGGTAGGTGCGGAACAGCGCACGCCTCGGCGGCCACATTTTCCTTTTTCTCGGACTAGCACCGCGACCGGACTAGCGCCCGCCCTGGGGGGCGAAGTGCGAGCGGCCCGGCTGGGTTCACGGACCTGCTGCCTGGCGCGCCCGGGACCAGAGCTCGCGGGCGACGCGTCCACGCGACGGAACCCGAGGAGCGTGCGGGGCGGCCCGGCCCGCGCCCCGCGGCGGCTCGGAACGGCTTCCGGAGCCAGGGCGGCCACGCCACGGCGGCGGTGGGGCTGCTTGGTGAGGAGGGGCTGGCGGGGCCGCGCGGAGGAGAACCCCCCCTCCCCCCCGCCCCTCGGCCGGCCGGCGCCCCCGAGCCGGCGGCGCGCTCGCCTCCCCGGCAGCGGGGCGCCGGCCCCGGCAGCCCCTTCGGGAGCTTCCGCCTCGCGCTCGGCTCCTTTCGCGGCCGGGCGAGGCGGGGCGGGCGTGCGTCCAGAGCGCGCGCGCAGAGCGATCCTCGCGGAGGCCTGCCCCTCCCCCCAGGCCGCGCCGCGCCCCCCCCCCCCACCCCCGTACGAGCGGCGGCGACGGCCGAGATTGGAATCCGCCTGCTGGCGCTGGGGAAAGGAGGAGGGAGGAGGGCGGGGAGGACGGGCAGGAAAGCTCGGGCTCCGGCGCGTCCGTCCGCGCGAGACGAGGATCGCACGGCCGCGCGAGGGGCGACCGGGCCGGGCCGCTGCACCCGAGGGCGGAGGCCGAGCCTGGCCCCCGCCGGCCCCGGCGGCTCGCCGCGCCCCCCCGCTCCGCGCCGCGGCTGGAGGATGCGTTCCCCGGGGTCCGGGTGAGTGGCGCGTGCGGGGCTGCGAGTGCGCGCCCGGGAGGCCGGCGCGGCTGCGGGCCCGGCGCGGGCTCGGGGTGAAGTTTCGGAGGCCGGGCGCGCGCGGGAGGCCCGAGCGGGGGGCGGCCCGAGCCGGGCGCCCGGCGGGGTCCCCGAAGTCCCGCCGCGTCAGGCCGCGGCCGACCGGGCCCCGCCGCCCCCGGGCCGCGCTCCCCGAAGCCCCGAGACGCCGACGGCGGGCCCGTGCTGACCCCCCGCTTTTGTTACCCACCCCCGGGTTTCAGGCCGAGTTTGGGGGAGGCGGTGTGCGCGAAAGCCGCTCCCGAGGACGCTGCCCGAAGCCTTAAATGGGAAAGGCGCTCACCTCCCTCGCCTGGCAGTTGTTGGGAGGTTGATATTCACGGTTTGTCTCTATACCCTTCTGAATTAAAAAAAAAAAAAAAAAGCGGGGGTGGGCGGCGTAGTCTGTGTCTTGGGGTGCCAGGGCCAGGAGGAGTCGCAGGCCCTTTCTCAAAACTTGCCCACAGGAAGGTGCCAGGTTTCTCGGAGGTTCACCTGTTGTTTTCGCTGCCTGCGCTGCCATGTCTGTTGTGATTCTGCACTTCAGTTTTCAGGAAACTTTCTACTGGGTTGAATCTAATCCACCCACCCACCCCCAAACACACACACACACACACACACACACACACACACGCTCTCACACTCACACTCAGTTTTCAGACTCCTAGTGGAAAGGTTTGGCAAGAAAAAAAATAGCTTGCGTCAGGGAAGAAAAATAGTGTGCTGTGTGTTAGGGTCTGGAGTTTGGGACTTGCACTCTTTCATGCTTTCAGATGTTTTAATTTGGTCACAGTGGTGCAGGTTTTCGGTTAGCAAACTGTTCTGAGTTCGTGGTACGAATTTGGCACATTCACCTGTGTGACGTCATTTAATCCTTGTGATAACCCTGGTTATTGTAGTCCTCATTTTTTCAGGCGAGGAAACCGAGACGCAAAGAGGTGAAATAAGTTGTCTAAGAGAGCTGGCATTTTGAACCCATTATTTTCTCTTATATTCAGAACCTGTTAAAGGGAAGCATAGAAAAAGTTTAAAAACAAAAAACCTCTCTGCAAACACGTTTCACGTTTAGGAGTGCTTTTCTGTTACTCGTGGTTGAAATGATCGCTATTTTGTTGCTTGAGTTGAAAACAACTCCCTTATTGTATTTGCCTGTAAGAGGAGTTCTAGTCCGAATTAAAGAAGAATGTAACCTAATGCTTATCTCTGTTTTGAGTTGTTGAAATAATAAAGTTTGTGAACCAGAATTATGTATTTGCTCTTAAAGCTAAAATACGGGCCGTTTTGAGCTAGAAATGGGTTAAGTTGACAAAAGGCTGATTGAAATTTAGAACGCATTTTTAATAGAAACAGTATTATACTCCTTCCCGCTCCTTCCTACCCTCCCACATTTTCCGTGTAACTCATTTCAGACTTCATTTCTCCACATCCTTAACTGAAAAAAGATTTGAGGCATCCAGTGGGAGCTCCTTTAGAATCTTTTATCTTCCATCTCAGGAGAATAGCTTTGTCTTTCCTAGAAGTAGTTAACAACCTTGTTGATTTTTGTTTTCCATTTAATAGAGTATGAGTTATTCTCCCCTTTGTCTTGGGTTTTAAAAAGTACAAATGTGCTTAAGATTACTTCAGTTTACAAAACCTTTCGCTCCCTCCAGCTGTCTTTTTGCTGCCTTTCCTTTAAAACCATATTAACATTAAAAAAAGTTTTGTCCTTGTAAAAGTAATGTTCGTTCATTAAAGAAAAACTAGAAAGTAGAGCCAAATTGAAGTAAACTTAAAATTCAGTCCTTCATAATCTCATCTCTAGAGATTGCTATTTTTCCTGACTTCCTGGCCATCCTTTCACTTCTTAACCCCTTGTTATCTGAAAGTCAGCTTCTTAGAGGTCACCCCATAACCTAGTCAACACATTTAATTAAGCCTCCCTTTTAAGTCAACTTCTTCAGCTTTCTGTGGCATTTAATATTGACCCTTCTTTCTTGACATGTCTTTCTTTGACTTTCAATCATCTATCCATTTCATGCATTAAATATTCTAACACAACTTGCAAGGCAATAACATGTAACATCAGATATGACCCTGGCCCTCCTAAATAGAGCTTACGGTCTGCTGGGAGAGATGCACATTTAAGAATGAATTCCATAATTAAATATAGTTGTGATTATAATGGAAAGTATACAGTATTTATAAAGGTTTGAAATGGGCTATGGACCTGGTCCTGGTGATGCTGGGAGAATCTTACAAGGCCTCTTTAAAAATGTTACTTTCCAACTGAGGACTCATTTGAAAAAAGACAAGTAAGAATTAAGAAGATGAAAAGAGAACTTTTGTAACATTATACTTTGTTCCTCTTTTCTGCTTTCTGTTTGTTGTCTTCTTCTCTTGTAAGTGTTCTCCAAGTTTGGTGTTCAGATCACTTTTCCGTACATTACTAGTCCTTCACATTGTTGTTCAGACCCTTTGGTGTGAATAGTTCTCCAATCATTTTTTTCTTCCACGCTTGATTTCTGTTTTCCAACTGCTTTATATATATCTCTACCTGGTGGTTCAGGTTTGAGCTGAATTTCTTCTCTCTCTCTTTTTTTTATTTTTATTTTTTTAATTTTTTTAAGTTGACTACATCACTTCTTTTAGAATTCTGATCTTTCTTTTCTTTTTTTTTTTTTTAAAGATTCATTTATTTATTTATACAAGCACTGGGTACAGTCAGAAGCGCGGGAGAGTGAGAGAATTCACCAGAGCCAGAGCAGGGAGCAGAGCAGGCAGAAGGACCGAAGTACACTGCTGAGGGGAGCAGCGGGCGGCAGGAGAGGTCTGCGCGCCATGTGGGACACCCCCCTCCGGTGGCCAGGGAGCAGCTGGGGATCGAACCGGTGCTGCAGAGGCCGCGGGCAGCTTCACAACCCAGCGCTCAACCACTGCGCCATTGGGGAGGCCCTCTCTCTCTTTTTTTTTTTTTTAAAAGGTTTATTTATTTATGCCTATAAAGAGCTGGGGTGCAGGCAGGAGGTGGGGGCCGGGGATGAGAGGATTCACCAGAGACAGCGTGGGGAGCAGAACAGGCAGATAGACAGAAATGCACTGCTGAGGGGAGCAACAGGCCAGACAGGAGAGGTCTGCTGCACCTTGTGTGCCTCAGCTCCCTGGCCAGGGATCTATCTCATGCCACAATGGCTGCCCATAGCTTTATAGTGCTGAGACTTAGCCCCTTGCGCTACCAAGGAGGCCCTCCTGTTGTTACTTATACTGTTCCCTCTACTTGGACTGCATATATGGCCAGTTGTTCTGCGTGGAAGTCCTACTCATTCTGTAAGCCCCATTTGAAATTCTACCTCTTTCTTTACTTTTCCCCATTTTCTTTATCTGGATGTAATTAATACCTTCTGAAGGGAGGGGTGTTTTTTAGGGCTTTAAGTTTTTAATATTTTCTTATTGTATTTCTTTTTTAAAAATCACTTTCCTTGAAGTACAATTTACATACAGTAATATATACATGTTAGGTGTGCAGTTCTGTGAGTTATTGGGTCTTTTGTAGAGTTTTTAAGCAAATATTAGTTCTGCTACTAGAGTTAAGACTGGACTGTAACTGACTTTGTTGCATATTAAAATGAATAAATGGAGAAAGGCCCTTGTCTAGCCTAGCAGTTGACTAGACATCAGTTATAGTAGTAATTTAGGTCTGATGTTTGGATCTTGGATGCAGGGAGCCATGGAGAGAAAGGAAAATGGATTTTCTCTCAGACTGAATTTTGGACTAGAAAATCTTTCCTCCTTCTGCTTAGTTTTTTAACTTTCTTCCCCCAACCCTTCCTCCTTATTGAGGTAACAGTGGTTTATAGCACTGTGCATGATTTAGGGGGATAGATTCACATTTCCTCAGATGTATGTCAGTGTTGTGCATTTGGGATGAATGCCTTTTTAATACCTCAAGATTCATATTGACCAAATCAGCTCAACTTTTTAACTTTTTATAGGATTAAAGGTTCAATTATATCAATTCTAAGATACCCCATAATTATATAGACCAGTGGTAAAGAAAATGTGCTTCTAGTTAATTTTAAGATGCCATTGATTGTTAGATGCACCCTAATTTTAGAGATGCTAAAATATGAAAAATTTGTGACTCACAATTGATGAATACAGATTCTCTCTCCAGTCAAAACTCCCATTCCTTATAAATAAAACAAATGAACTAACAAAAAATGCAACAAAGGTAAACTTTTAGACCATGAGAAAAACTTAGACCACGGTGGTTTAGGGGAGCAGCAGGAGTGATGGGCAAAGGGGATCAATTTGATGGTGTGAATGGCACTAGAACTTCAGTGATGGGTGCAGTGAGGTGTATACACATATTGAGATGTGATGCTGTACTCCCAAAACTTACATAATATTGCAAACCAGTGGTAAAGCAATAAAATTTTATTAAAAACAAAACAACTTCCATTCCTTACATGTAGATGTTGGGAAGAAAGAATTGAAACTACGCTAATGTAAAAGTTTCATAAAGTTATTTTTAAAAAAATGCCTGTAAAATTTCTTTAGCAAGTAAAATGCTTTGCATAGGAAAAAAAAAATTTTATTTTTGGATGAGGTCTCCTACAACTAGGTGTGCTCATCTGATTACAAGGCACTTTGACCATCAACTTTCAGCATTTTTTCATTTGCTCACAGATTCCCTGAGAACTGGTAGTTTGCATAAAATGAAATGATTGAGTAAGAGGGGAATTTTATTGGAAGAGTTGTGATATTAATCATATAGGTTATTTTAAAGATGATATCCAGTATTTATACGTCATCTTTCATATTCACATATACTTAGTTGTTTTATAAAGTAAATACAGAAATAATTGTAAATGTTTGACTATCTTAGGGTCATAGTTAGATATCAATTTTGTAGACAGTATTTTAAAGACTGTCTACTCTTTTGTAAAGATTTATTTATGCAT